ACTAGTGACAGGGATATAAGAACAGAGACCACAAGGCAATCATTAAAAGCAGCAAGAGTAAGTGGTTGCCTTCGAAGAACCATATGGAGAAACAAACATCTGACCACGGAAAGCAAAATGAAAGTATACAAGACAACAGTAAGACCAATCCTAACCTATGCAGTGGAGACAAGGGCCGATACAAGAAAGACAAAACAACAAATCAACAACATCGAAATGAAAGTATTAAGACCAATAGCGGGCAGATCATTAAGAAAAAGAAAAACTGACGGAAATACACTCGAACAATGCAAAATTCAAAATATTAACAGGTGGACAAAAACAAGAAATAAAAATGGAACAAACATGACAATGTAAACCGAATGGGGCCAGATAGATTAGCGAACATCTGTAAAAACAACAAGGCCGTATAGAAGAACACCCGTTGGAAGGCCATCAAAAATGTAGAAAGATAATGTAAGTCAACAATGACTGAAACAGAATAAGGGGCAGACAAATAGGAGTAATCCTAGTCACACGAAGAAGAAGAAGAAGGCATTAGTACTGATTAATAAAATTAATTGTAAATTAATAATTTTAGTGTCTACAAAATAGCAAACGAAAAATGATAGAAAATGATAATATTTCAAATATAAGCATAGCAATTGGTAAACTTAATGAAGTAGTGCAAAAAAATACAAATAATGTGAATGATGAATTTAACATATTTGCTAAACATATCGCTGTCCAGTCTCTTTACGATGGATTCAGGTGCTAAGAAGTCATTCAGAGTCTAGTACGAAAAAACGATTACAGTTCTTATCTGGAAAACAGTTCCAGTATCGTACCAATCTATCACCAGTGCGGTCATCGTCTGAGTAATTTTGACATTATTTCTTTACCAGCATTTTCAACCTCTACTATTAATCTACATCACCAGCTCTTTTAAACTACACAGACTGAGAATATTTATCATCTTCCATTTCAAATTAATTATATTACAAACAAAAATGCAAAGAGATTTCACAGAAGTCATCTGATATAGTTACTGCAGCTCTAACAGGTTTCATCTACCTAGAATATTTAGTTTTTTACAAAATCCTGTAACATATCGTAGATTGTTGTACCTACATACTTCCACCACAATAATTGAAGTGTTATTTTTAGGTACTCGCTACACGTTATATGGAAGCATCAGACTATCCAAGCTGCTGAAGCTCTATGATAAACCACAACACATTTGCCTAGGTGGAAATGACTATAATTATAATAAGGAAGCAATCATTGCAAATGAATCTCGTGTAGCTAAATATCTTAAAGTAATTTGCAGCTTTAATTTTGCCGATATTGCTTGTCGCATGTTTGTGTTTTTTATGACATCCTGCACTTTTGACAGCACTTTCGTCGAATTTTTATGCGGACATTCTCAAATGCTTTTATACTCTTCTTCATTAAAGAATGTTTCTCATACTCTGAATGCATTTCTCCTTAGAATCCAATTCTTCATCTTTTGGTGCCTATCCTCTGTGGATGTTGGCAATCACGTTGGTCCATACAACTTTGTTTACAGCTGCTTTAAATAGATGTATGGTAGTCATTCCTGCCCACTGTCTGATGTTCTTCAACCACGATGTCCTTCTGCGCCCTTGAGATCTTTTGCTTTGTAAAATTAGTTGAATTAGTCGATACTTCTCATTGCGCATCACATGCTAAGTAAGTCATCTTTCTCATTTTTACGATACGCATCATTTCCAAATCTTGATTCATCCGTCGGATTACGGTGTTATTTGTAACATGATGGTTATAGGAAATACTGAGCATAAGGCGGTAGTACCATATTTAGAAGGCTTCTAATCGTTTTGATGTTGCCTCCGTCAAGGTGCAGGCTTCGACTTCATATAAAAAGGTAGAAAATACATAGCATCTCAAGTCTCGTGTTTTTATATCAATGTTCAGGTGCACATTACATAAATTGTTCCTGAGGCGATTGAAGACAGATCTGGCCTTTTCTATACATCTTATTTCCTGTGAGTGGTCCCATTCCTTATTTAGGCTGCACCCAAGATATGTAATTTTGTCGACTATTTTCAAGGGTTCATTATTAGCTGTGAATTGGTGCTGTATTACATCGTTTTTACTTACTACAAGAATTTTGGTCTTCTCACAGTTTAATTTCATGCCTTATCTGCCACAGCCTTCCACTACACTGTCTATTAATGTTTGCAGATTCTTCGCATTATCAGTAATCAAAACCGTATCGGCCGCATATCTTAAATTGTTTATGATTTCACTAATGATTTTTATACTTTTTCTTAAATCATCAATAGCTTCCCTGAACAAGTATTGAACAACGTCGGTGATAAAATGTATCTCTGACGTACTCCCCGTTTTATCGTAAATTCTTATGAGGTTTCGTTGTCTACTGTCTAGAATCCACGATCTCATTCAAAAATAACGTTTCTTGTGACTTTTGTTCATATTATTAACAAAATTCTTCTTGTTTTAACAAAACTGCAACAATTTGTAAACATTAACAAACAAGGGCACGCCATTTTTAAATTGACTCGTTGCGTCAATATTAACTTTTTTTAATCAACTAAAATTGGTCAACTAAACTTGACTAGTAAGAAGGCATTTTTAAATAAAAGTGAATTGCTGGGTGAATAGAACTTATTGCAATAACCTACAAAGTTGGTCCTTTGGTTCATGTTTGTCATTTAATTGTTAACTAAAATACTGAGAAAAGACAGTATTAGAACACATATTAGACATAATAAAAAAATAGGACAAAGTTTTAACAGAAAGAAACCCTAACAAAAAACATACGCCAACACCATTCCGTAAATGTTTAAAAAAGAACCAAATCAACCATCAAATTTACTTTCTAATGTCTTACCTCTACAATAAATTTCTCCATTAGGCCCATCATTAAGGATGGTAGAATCTAAAGAACGGTTGCAGTCAGCACAGCTGAAACACCTCTTATGCCACTGTCCGTGCTTGCTAATCATTTGTTCAGCAGCATAAACAGCATATCCACAACGTCTGCAACCTGGAAGTAACAAACTCATCATTAAAAACGTTAAGGTTGTAAATGTTCGGCTAAGTTTAGGTACTTAACCTTAGATAAAAGTTATGTAACATAAGATTGTTACATAAGTAACACAACATTTAGATGTAATTACTACCCAGCTACTCTTATAATTTGGTCTTGCATGATCATACCAAAAAAGGTTTCGTTGGATTCACGTCTAATAGTGTCAACCACTAGATATTAATATTATTATTAATATTAATACCCAAGGTATTTGTCAAAGTGTCTTTTTTAGCTGTAGTGGGTTAGATAAATCTTTGGTGCTTTTATCTAGTCTATCAAAAGACTACATATGACTTTATCATATATAATAAAGACAGCTTTTTTTTGGGGAAAACAGCTGAAAAATATAGGTTATGTGTAGTATTTATTCTTTAATTTCTAAATTTCGTTGGTGGTCACCAACATCATCAGGGAATACTACAATTTAGTTACATGAGAAACCACAGTCATTTTATATGGCCATATTTACAATGCAAGGATAATATCAAACAAAATTATATATTTGCTTGTAATTTTTAAAAATGATTACCAGCTTTCAATATGGCATTATCCTCGCATTGTAAGTATACTTATAATAAAAGACTGTGATTTTTTATGTAACTAAATTGTTACATGAGAACCATTATTTTGACGACGTTTCGGCAAAGTTGTACTTGCCATTGTCAAGCCCGTAGTAACGCTTTTTGTTAATGCTTAAAGTAAACCGAGTCTTCTGATCAAAGAGGTTGCTTATATAGCCGATCTTGGAGCGCTCCTCTGGAACGGGAAGAAGCTTTGCATCTTGTCTTCTCTTCTTCTTCTTTTTATATAGACATGACTTTGTCTGTTTTTTAATGTGCTTCCAGTAAGTTGTCATTCCATCGTTTTCATGGTCTTCCTACTGATCATCTTCTTATTGGGGAGGGGTCTCTTGCCGTCTTTACTACTCTATTAGTTGTCATTCGGCTTATAGGATCGTTCCATTCTACTCTTCTATTTCTTACCCAGTTTTTGATGTTCCTCACCTTGCATCTATGTCGTATATTTGTACTTCTAGCTCTGTCCCATAGTGTCTTACTATCAATTTTTCATGAAGTGTTTTCATCTCTGCTGTTTCTAACATCCTTTTTGTCCTCTCTGTCAGGTTTTATTTCTGCCGCGTATGTCATTATTGGTCTGATGACTGTTTTGCAAATTCTGCATTTGGTTTCTTTCCTAGTATTTTTATTTCTCCATATTGTTTCATTTAGGCAGCCTGCGGCTCAGTTTGCTCTATTCACTTGATCTTCTACTTCGTTTCTAGCTTTCTGTAGCTAAATAATGTGATGCCTAGATATTTAAACTTCATCACTTATTCTATTATCTGACCTTCCAGCTCCAATTTACATCTTGGTAAATTTGCTGTTGTAACCATACATTTTGTCTTTATTGGGGAAATTAACATGTTAAATTTTCTGGCGTGAATTGGTTTTTCTCCCATTTGGTATCCTTTTTAGTTTTTTACTTTTTTATTATTTCATCCGTAATCAAGTTGAACAATAGAGGACTCAATTAATCTCCCCGTCTTACCCCATTGCCAGCTTCAATAGAGTCGGTTAGTTCTTCTTTTACTTTTACTTTTACTTTTACTTTATTGTGTTTGGTAGATATTTTCGATGGTTTTGATTATTCCTAAAGGTATCTCTCTTGTATATAGTAAGTGGATAACGTCCTTTAATTTGATTCGGTTAAATGCCTTTATAAGGTCCACGAAACATAGATTGCATTAATTACTATTTAACTGGGAATAAGCCACAATTAAAGATAAAAATACGTTTATTGACGTTTCAATTTCCATCAAATTTTCCAAATTTGTATTTTGAGAACGATTTCCGAAGTGGAAATTGAAACGTCAATAAACGTATTTTTATCTTTAATTGTGGCTTATTCCCAGTTAAATAGTAATTAATTTAAAATGCCACAAGAAAATAGCTTTAGAACAATATAGATTGCATCTTGTGATTGGGTCTATTCGTGGGTTTAGTTACAAGGGGTCCTACTAGTCAATCTTGTGAGCGAATGTGTTTTTGACTTTTTCTTTATTACCGTTTTCCATGTTGTTGAAAGCTTTTGTGCATCATCTCTTTCATTTAGACTAATTTATTGTTTGTTCTGTGTTTGATACATGTTGTGCAAGAGAATACGCATATCTCGTCTAACAATAGTTCTTCGGTTGGTCTGTCCGATGTACAATTTGTCATAGTCCTTACATGAAATCTCCTATACTCCTTAATTATAGAACGATATTTTTGTTTTGGCGAATGGTAATATATTTAAGAAATTTCTGTTGATATTTAATATCGTTTCTATTTTGTGTGTTTCTTAGCACTCTCCCTATTTTCTTTGTTGTACCCTTTGCATTACAGTAGAATCCCTTTTGTAATTAGGTTTAAGTCTTCTGTTATGTCCTTAATTATTTCTTGAGCAATATGAGCCTTTTTAATGGTATATATTGAGAAGCCGTTTTTTCTTAGCGCAGTTTTCACATTATGCATATCTTTATTTTTCATCTGTCAGTCTTTCGTAAAATAGTATCGTAAATATATATATATATATATATATATATATATATATATATATATATATATATATATATACCATTTCTTTCTTAAAACATATCTCTCAGCAAGAGATATGTTTTAGACACTAAAAATAGCCTTAACTATAGAGCTGAGCTGACCCTCAAAAGTCCTTCCCATCGCAGAGGGCACATACCAGGAATCTCAGTAAAAAAGTTTCTTTCCCACCAGCCAAACTTCTACATTACGCTAGTATCAAGCTTTCTGATGAGTTTTACGACGTCCTTGTGGTCCTTTTCTTAAATATCGTAAATAAAATAAGCTGCAAGCAAAAACGCTAATTAAAGAACCTTTTGTATACTTGGTGACAGACTGGGTACTTCCTCAACAAAACATGAACTGTCTCGTCTCTCCTTCCTCAAGAAAAAAATCCCAACCACCTTCTGCCTTCCCGCTCCGTTAGCGGCATACTGCCACTCTCCCCATGTCTGCTAACGTTTACTCCCATCCAAAACTCCCGCTAAAAAAAGGAAGTCTCGTACTTGAAGAGGCACACTAGTCAAAGCTAGTCAAAGTTACAACAATAAAATTGGCATCGTAAGTCTCTTTAGAATTATAGAACTAGTGTATTCTCATATTTTCTTGTTAAACAATTAGCACCAAATGATATAGGTCGTAACTCAAATATTATACGTTGAGTGTAACAATAACAATATATATTGTTATTGGTATAATATATATTGTTAATGGTAGTGAAGAATGTAGCAGTCAACGTGAAGTATAACCTTGTACAGTATTCAACTAAAATATTTGTTATCTTAAATTTTCACTTAGTGTCTTTATAAAGATTTTTTACTATGTAAATTCCATGAATTATATATAATTTTTTTAAATGTTCTAGTTCCATTTAAGTTTTGTAATTGACTCTTCGATAATTCACCAAATCTTACCTTGACCAGGTGCAGCTTTAGGTCCACTGTTGGGCCTTGGATCGTGAACTGCGGGAGCAGTTCCATCGGCGCATACCAAAGTTGGGGCATGTCCAAAACCGAATCCTTTGGGTCCAAACAGTTTTCCATAACAGGCACGGCAATGGATTTCCTTGTCGGGACCGTCACAAGCAAGAACAGAATCGAGTGGTCGATGACATTCGGCGCAGTTAAAACATTTCTTGTGCCACATCTGAAAAGATAAAACAGGCAGCTAAATATCTTTCCGTCATTGGACAAATTTAAAAAAATTAATATTAGCAAAATTAAAACAGATAATAGCGATATAGATAGCGGTAATCTCGCTTATGGAGAAAAATACATACCGTTCCTTTAGCCAGCTGTTGCTCGGCGGCGAAAACCATTCCTCCACATCTTGGGCAACCTTGACCAGGTGGAGCCTTAATCGAGGTCGTATCTGGGTTGTAGAAAGGTCGGCTAGCAGAAATTTCTTCTTCGCTGTTTACATATAAACGATTATTTTTCCAAACTTAAAAGGTTTTACATAAGTGAAATTTGAAGTAATTTAAAATAAAAAGTAGATGATTTTCGTTTACGATTACTTTTATTTATTGTAAATACTATTATATTTAATAATGAACAACAAGCCACTACATTAGGATAATATTAGACTAGAGGAATAATTCGGTTTATAAATTTGGTTCATAGAATTATGGAAAAAAGTTTACGCTAGTCCCCGGAACTAGTCAACCGATTCCAATGAAATTTTGTAAAAGTGTATTTTTTGGTCGAACGTACGGGAGGTGATATTTTTAGTCTCGATGAAAACCCCTTATTTTTTTTAATTGTTAATTCAAATTTTTTGTATAAGACTCCAAGAGTTGTAGGTAGTAAAAACTGTTTAAAAATCGGTTTTTTTTTTAAATTATGAACTTCTAAAAAGTTTTGTTTAGACTATTTCAATCATCGAGTTAGAATCTATGGAGAGGGCATCACGTGACTAAAAACGACCTCACTTCGGCCATATTGTTAATACTATTGTTAATATTGTTTTTACACTTTTGACAGATCGTATAAGTTTATTTACGTTTGTTGTTTTTCGAATATTTTAAGTTTTATAATATTTTTATAGACACTGTAATAATATAAATATTGTGATAGTGCATAATAATAGTTTCTTGTTCTCAACGTAGTTGCAGTAGCAGAAGCAATGCTAATAAAAAATCTTCAGGAATAACGTTGTACAGGTTAGTATACAAATATGTAAACAAAGTAATAGCCCGTACTTCAGATAATAAATTAATAGTATTTGACTGTATTAATTTATCGTTATGTATAATATTTCGTGTTTTTAGTGTTTACCGCGGGATAAATAAATCATAGTTTATTAAAAATGTATTGCACTTTTCAGATTATGATTAAATCTTCTAAATAACTAGCTATACTTTTACAGTAGTTTTATTATTAAAAGTGAAACTAGAACAAACCATGAAGTGGAGATATCCAGGAGTGGCTAGTATACCTGTTGAATACAAAGCACGTGGTGGTCGTGTGTATTAAGGTATAAAAAAATGCTTATTAAAAGCTTAAAACTTTTATTTTAAAGAAGATCTTTTCGAAATAAACTCATTCCATCATCAGTTTAATAAAAAGTTGTCAAAAAAAACATTGTATGGCCACATGAAAACATAGTAGAGAACTCCGTATTAAAAAACTATCCTCAAGGTGTTTATGAAAGTAAATGCAATAGACTGTTGATTTGTAGATTACTAAAAACTGGAAATGGGGACATCTTACATGACTCCCTGTAGTTGGTGAGGTTTTATTGACTTACATTACCTCTGATCTGTGCTGGAGTCTAGGGCTAACTGCTAGACAGTTAGCCATTTCCAGTTTTTAGTAATCTACAAATCAACAGTCTATTGCATTTACCTTCATAAACACCTTGAGAATAGTTTTTTAATACGGAGTTCTCTACTATGTTTTCATGTGGCCATACAATGTTTTTTTGACAACTTTTTATTAAACTGATGATGGAATGAGTTTATTCCGAAAAGATCTTCTTTAAAATAAAAGTTTTAAGCTTTTAATAAGCATTTTTTTATACCTTAATACACACGACCACCACGTGCTTAGTAGTTTTAATATTATTGAGTCCGGCCATGATCCCACCGCCATATTGGTATTATTATTAGCCACACCTACCTACGCTGTTTTTAATACACACATTAATATGCTCATAGCTTCTCCATAGATTCTAACTCGATGATTTCAATAGACTATTTTTAACTGATAAAACGTCATAGCAACGCCACGTTTCCTACTACTGACAAAACTCCTTCTTGTCCGTGATTTTTCAGCGACAAAATTATGACAGATCCGTCTCGAAGGTGTCTGGTAATTCTATTGTTGTCAGTTTGACAAATGTCATTAAGGCGTAATCAATTTTGGACATATACTGAATCCAGACGAAAAATCAAGATTTGGATTCCAGTCAGGAGAAAGAAATCAAAAACTTCGTTTCGGAAAATGTCCCATTGAATACGCAGAGATCCAGAAGGTATTTGGACCCAATTTTCGGACTTCCTACGGATGAGAAATTTTACGCTTGAAAGATGTACTACCATAACGGAACTAGCAAAAATTCTCGAGGATTATGCTTTTAACATGAAAAAAGGGAATTGCGAAGATTATAGAGAGTCGTCTGTACAGTCATTGTGAAATACTACAGCAAAGATTGTACAAGAAAAATATTTTACGGATTACGCCATAAAAATCTACCCTTTTACAGATATATTTTTCAAATGTACAAGATTGACCAGAGATATTAAGCGAAGGCGGCTTCGAAGTGTTTAAGAAAAAAAACTTAGTTCAAAAGCATTTTCCACCAAAGAACTGTTAAAAATCATCCAAAGCTACGACGAGGAAACCCCGATGGAGCAAAAAAAAATTTTCACATTTGCTCTTTGAGCTTGCTTGGAGAGACAATGAGGCCGTAAACTGCAAGATTCCCTTTTTTCAGAAGGAATTTGATGGTATGGGAGAATTTATGGGCTGAATTTAATACAAAACAAATCAAGGCGGTTCGAAAACTTTGGCAAGCAGCAAATGGCTGGTAAGAAATTCATCAAACAAAAATTAGAAAGATTATTTTTGAAATTAAAGAAAAAAAGGGGACCAAAGATTTTATTAGACAGACTCTTTTTACCGTTCCCCCAACTGGAAGTATGAATCTTGGTTCAAAAACTGTCCACTTGGAATCAATACCGTAGCTAAGTGGAAAAAATGTTGGAATTGACACAAATTGGAATAGAGACAAAAAAATATAAAATAACAAACCATTCTCATCGATCTTCAGCTGTGTCAGCCTTGTTCAAGCAAGGCGTTACTAAACAGGAATTAATTAAATTAATGAGTCACTCAAATGCAAGCTGTCTAAAACCATATCTCTAGCTGAATTCCAGTCACCACTAGTTGTGACCTTCGAGTCGCCAAATGCAACATGTCAATAATATACAAAAACGTGCTTCGGTAAAAAAAATGAGTAAACTACTATAGCATATAATAATTGTTCATTTAATACTGTTAACAAATCAATAAACATTATGTTTCGTTGATAAGGTGCAATAATTGTCTCGTGAAATAGTCTCGTCGAATATCATTCAAGAGAAAATTATTTACCGGCAGATTTTTCTTCTGGTTTTATTTAAGTTCGTTGCCTTTTGGCAATTTTCGCTTATGAAATTTTACAAAATCAATTTACTTTGGCACAAAAATAAAGAAAAATAAAATATTTTGTTAATGAGATATGAGTTAATACTTACGTTAGGCCATCAGTTTGTAAGAAACCGGATCCACAAGCGAATCCGTAACCGTGGGGTCCCCATTTCTTGCCATAACAGGTCTTACAATACACATCTTTGTCTGGACCATCGCAGGCATTGATAGAATCTAAGGTCTTGGTACAATCCTTGCACTTGAAACATTTGCGATGCCATTGGCGTCCCTTGGCGAGGACCTCTTCAGCAGCGAACACTACCCCACCGCAACGAGGACAACCTTGACCGGGCTTAGCCTTGATGCTGGTGGTATCGATGAGAGTTGTCTTGGGGGCTTGATCGCTGTATTTATATAATTTTATTTAGTACGTCTGTGATTTTTTTCGGAGATTGTGACATATTTTTTAGTCTTGCAATATTAAGATATACTACAAAAGTTTTTATATAAGATAAATAAATTGAGATAATACTTTTATTAAAATTATTCAATTCAACGTTAAACTTAAAAGTTTGCTTTTTATTTATTGCATTATGTAATAGCTATACAGTATTGGAAGATTCAAAACGGAACATACGAATTATTAATACAATTATTAAGATCCCCTGACCTGCAATTACCCAGTGTAAATTTCAATATAACGTCGCGATGTCTTATAATTAATTCATTTGTTCAACTGGATTGCTACTCCTTGGCGATTTCTAGTAGCGTATTCGACAGGTGTACGTCGACACTGTTGTCTATCGTCCACTGATTTTCTGTGTTTTTGTGCAGATAATAACAATGTTTTATTAATAACAATTTTTTTGTGTTCATTAGATATTATTTGAATTGGTTAGTGTATAGTTTAATATATTTATTATTCCAAATATTGTTGATAATTTAAAATTTAAAAGGATTTATATGATACATCAAAATCTACAGATTTTTGCCGAAGGTATCTATCGATTTGGCAACAGTCCCAAGGAACATCACTGGCCGAGCAAAACAAATACATGCCCTTTACTTTGCTTTTCATTATAACGCAATAAGCTGAAATAAAAGTAGTGTTTCTAACCATAAACCATGTATACAAACAAAGAAAAAGTACAAATTTTAAAATGGTATTATGGGGGCAACTCGCACCGTGATATAAATTTATTTACTTGTGCGTATGAAGATAGGCCAATACCGACACAATCAACTATTAGTCGTATTATTAAGGTGCGCACGTGCGCAGCAGTCTAAAAATATTGACTGGAGAAGGAGTCCAGTCGAACAAATGAATTAATTATTAGACATCGCGACGTTATATTGAAATTTACACTGGGTAATTGCAGGTCAGGGGATCTTAATAATTGTATTAATAATTCGTATGTTCCGTTTTGAATCTTCCAATACTGTATACAGAATATGTTTTGTTGTTATTAAATATTCTTTTAAATATTAAAAATTTTAAACAATATATTTAAAAGTATATATCAGTAATGTACTATTGTTATAGTTTTAGTATAAATTTACAGTCTCTGTGTATTTTCGTATTCAATTTTTTTTATTCATCCTTCCAATTATAACACTGTAAAAACTATTTATTATCAATTTCACAGTACGTTGTACACTACCACCTAATAAAACAAGATTATTGATGTATAATAGTGGCCACGACTTACCTGACTAGAATTGTTAAAAAATAATTTGTAGTTGAGGTGTCTTACTAAGACCATCGATACATCGATACATTGAAATAACAGGTAATGAGTTTATCAAGATAACACCTCGTAATAGTAGTAAAACTGTCTGGCCTGGCCTACAAAGCAGATCTGGAATATTGTTTAGGCAGAATTAAACGACCATTAACGGCCGAAAAGATATGCCGACGACACGGTGATCCTTGCCAGTACCATAGACGAATTACAACAAGTAATGGACTTTATTCAGTTAGTGAGGAATACGGCCTGAGCCTCAACTTCAAGAAGACAAAGTGGATGTTGATAAGCAAAAAGCAACAATCTGCTCGACAATTACGGATAAGTAACATACTAATTTGACCATGTAGAATCTTATGTGTACCTTGGCACCAACGTAAATGTAAAATGGGAACAGACCATAGAAATTAAGGCAAGAATAGAACGAGCTGGAGCAGCATTTAGCAATATGAAAAAGCTCCTCATAAGCAAGGATTTGTCTCTTCCCTTAAAACTACGTATAGTTAAATGCTACATTTTTCCGATCTTGCTGTATGGCGTGGAGGCCTGGACGCTGACGGAGACGCTAACAAGACAACTGGAAGCATTCGAAATGTGAGTGTACCGACGCATTCTTCGTATATCCTGGACCGAACATGTCACCAACATAGAGGTACTCCAAAGAATCGGAAAGGAGAAAGAAATCGTGAATACAATTAAAAAAAGAAAGCTTGAATATCTAGGCCACATATTGAGACACGATAAGTACCGTCTGCTACAATTGATTGTCCAGGGAAAAATAGACAGTAAGCGAGGGCCAGGCAGGAGAAGACACTCGTGGCTCCAAAATCTGCGGAAGTGGTTCGGGCTCACATCGGTCGAACTATTCAGAAGCGCCGCAAACAAGATCAAAATTGCCATGTTAATAGCCAACTTTCGCAACGGACAGGGCACTTGAAGAAGAAGAAGAAACGAACGATCAGACATAGACTGGATATAGGCATGGCTGCCGAACAATTTCTAGCGGTTATCATGTCGGGGTTCGAAGACAATTATTCAAATATAGTGCGAGCACCATAAAAGTGCCTTAGAGGCATAAAAACTTTGCAAGTCAAAGGACAGAAGTAAGACAAACTTTTAATTTTGCCAAAAGATCAGGTGAGTGCTGGGGGTGATTATTGCAAACATCTAATTAAATACAATGAAAAACTGAGAAAAAGAAAAGAAGAATCGTGGAGAAAGGATTGCGAGGAGATAGAAGATACTGCTGATATGTCGAAGCTTCATAAAGTTTTCTCCAAGGATCCTCAGATAAGTATAGTCTCATTTCATAGAAAGTCAGGTGAATACACTATAGTATAGCCGTAAAAGCACCATTCTTGATTGGAAAAAAGACTTTTTTCCAAAACAACATAACTGTCACTGATTCAAAACCATGGCAAAAGGTATATAGAATAAACATGCGCAAATATGTCTACGGAAAACAAGCAACACTTGGTACAGAGTCATAATAGGTTTTTCTTACTGGACATATGCCTGTCAAAATACACCTGCATACATTAGTACTATTTTATGGAAACTCTATAGCAGAGAAGCATAAAATCAAATCTTATATGACAGTGAGTACTAAAGTGCTGTAAACACTTTTTGGAGACTATAAAACTCTAAAGTTTTCTCCAAAAGGAGTTTTGGAATCCCAAAAACTACCAAAAGCATATAGTACCTATACACTAGACCTCTACACACTGGTATAGAGATTTTAATTTTTTCATTGTAAACAACAAAGCATTTTCATCAAAGCAGAGGTTTCGCCAATTCTTATATAAAAAGGTTTGTAATTAAAAATATTTTTGTGCGTTACATAAGTGTCACAATCTCAGAATAATAATAAAATTGGTTAAATTACAGAAAATTTACTATAATTTTAAAAAAATTATTCTTAAAAAATGCATATTTATATATTTTACAAATTATCCACATTATTACAAAAAATATTTTTTATTTTATCACAAATTTTGTTTGGCAAAGCGTTTGTCCACATTTAATACTGGTAGGTAACAGATATACAGATGACAAATACTTATGTCACATAAATTTTTTATGTATTACAAATAAAAAAAAGAGAATGATTTAATACTAAAAAAGATATAGCTTAATATGATTCTATAATAGGTTCACCAAAACCATTAGGTACAAGTTGTAATACAATATTACTAAAACTGCTATAGATTTAAACATTGTCCAGTAAACAATCTTAAAATATATCTGGCCTAGAAAATATTAATATAACAGAAAACCTTTGTGTATTTATATAATACGCTATTAGTTAACCTTTTATAAAAAATTTTCGACCTTTTCAATTAAAAAATAGGTCAAGGTCGTCTTTGAAAGCCAGAAATACATTTATGCGATACATTATCTTTTAACTTGTTTAAATGTTAAAAAAAGGGTGTCCTTACAATATCCTTTAGTTCCGATATATAATAATGTATATGTTAAAGTCCATCCAATTCGTTTGAGCTTAAGTCAAAAATAAAAAAAAACTCATGCAAACGGTTCAATTTATAATGTATCCATCAATATCCTTTCAGTATGATTGAAAACTGTAAAATACGACAAATTTTAGATCCTTAATAGGATTGCGATGCAAAAAAACGCCTTCAAATAATGTAATATAAGATAAAGATTAATCAAGTATCGCTGCGAATAACTTTTAAGACTCAGCAAAGGCTACAAAGAATTTGGAGTTTACCATAGGCGATTGGCACTTGTGGAAAGAAACCACAAATATCGGTCAGACATGCAGAAAAATATTCCTTTAAATAAATCTATACAATAAATGGACGAATATTGAAAACCTATAGGAAGAAATATATATACGAATTAACCAGAAATCAATGACAAGACTTTTGTTTGATGGCGAGTTGGGTGAACTGCAAATTCAAATTCACTAGAAGCTATTGGACGCTGTTATTAATAACCTTTTATTTCCACAATACATCTACAGTTAAAAAACATTATATTTTACACTCTTTACATAGACAAAAGACTTTGAAATTGAAGTAGACAATTGTACTTGTTTTCAATTTAAGTTTTACCAATATTCGACACGTGTTTCGAGCTACTCACCTCTCATTGGAAACACTTGTGGTATCTTGAACTAAAATAAAATGCTCCCAACTATTTGACCTTTATAAGAACATCATATGCCTGAGTATGTTCGTATCGATCTAGAAGTAGAAGTCTCCTGACTTCTCGTTGATTCATATAGAGGTCACTAGCGTATTATGTTAAAGCACGTTGTACATATTACTACAATGGCCAAATAGTTGCGTTTTATTTCAGTCATTAAGATAAGACAAGTCCTCCCGGTAAGAGCTGAATAGCTTGAAACACGTCTAGAATAATCATTTTTTTTATCACTTAGAGAACAAGAAAAGAGACCAGGAGAGAGATCGGTGGGCAGACCGTAGAAGAGATGGACAAATGATATCACAATTTCATAAAAGTATCTACTAGTTTAGTGATGTAATCTATCAGATACTTATATGCTTTATAAGTAAGTAAGCTTTATAGATTGTCAAAACCATTTAACAGAATAAAACATGACAAATTATTAATACTAATGACAGATATAAAATAGACGACTAAAGCTTGAGATTGACCGAAAATATTATTAC